CAATGGCTACATCCCAAGCCCTGCCCCGCCCCAGCAGGGCAGCGCCTGCCCCGCCCCAGCAGGGCAGCGCCTGCCCCAGCCCCATCTTGGGCTTGATCTGCACCCCCACACCCCTTCCCTTCCTACTCCCCTTCCACCACAACAGACTTACCAACTGCTCTTCAAGCTACCAGACTGCGTATTGGAAATTGAATCGGTCTCGGCTGATATGCCTCCTTAAAAATTGGCTGTCAGTATCAGCCCCAAATATCTCTAACAGTGCACCCCTAATGAAAAGACTAAACTAGGGTATCCAGCACCTATTTGGTGGGGGGGAGGTGGGGGAAGAAGGAACTCTATGTTCAGATTGAACAGACAGATTACAGTGGGAAGCAGGTCAGGGCTGGTTGGGAATTTTCCGGTGAAACAGGTCTTTTTTGGAAAATGCTAATTTATTGAAACTGACACAATTTAGCAAACCATTTCTATTTCAGTGATCTTCTAACAAAGCACAGGCAGGGCTATGACAGGACTTTTTCTTGTTTCCTGTCAGCTAGCCTTCCAGACTGCTTGGAAGCCCAAGCACTCTAGGTTAGCAGGTGTCCCAGCTTGAATCTTCCCCAAGATTAGGGACAGCAGGGTTCTTAGACTTCTTCCTATTAGTAGGACTTCAGAGCCCTAGCTCAGTTTCCATCTCCAGCATGGAAACTGTAAAATCACCAGCAATAGCTAGGGACTTCTAGACTTCCAGACACCCTCTCTTAGATTTGGCAGCCTGGAAACCCTGGATGACCCAGGAGCCTCAGTACTTGCACTCCCAGGATCCATTTTATTTTTAAGTTTTTAAAAACAGTATATTTCTACACAACACAAGTTTTCTTGTATCTCTGTTCTGAGGGCAATTTTGCCATTTAATTTAGAAAAAAAAATGCTTATTTTTCCCTCTACAAAACATTAGAAATCCCAGTTTTAGATTAGCTGTAATGAAGAACCATTTGTGCCTGTAGCTACAGAGGTGCACTGCCCGCAAGAGACACGGCTATGACTTCTGTCCATCGCTACCTGCTAGGGCAATCCTTTTTCTCTGCTATGTGGTGCCCAGACTTGGAGCTACTGGAAAGTACCCAAATCCAGTGGACTTTATTCAGATTTTCCTCTTTCTTTACCTCAGCAAGATCCTCTAAATGCTGCTAAGTTGTCTCTGGTTTGGTTCTATCCTTTTTCTCTAGCCCCTACTCTACAAGTTAATGTGTAACTTTTACTAGAGTAAATTCTCCTGAATGCTAGAAAATTGTCATTGTTTGAGTAGAGCCATGTGACACTTTGTGAACAGAGCATGTTCATAGATTCACAGATTGTAAGGCTGAAAGGGACCTCAGAAGATCACTGGGTCCAGCCCCCTGCACCAAGCAGGAAAGATAACTGGGAGTCAGGTGACCCCAGCAAGGTGACTGTCCAGTCTCCTCTTGAAGATTTCCAGGGTAGGCGATTGCACCACCCCTGGAGGGAGCTTATTCCACAGTCTGGACACCCTGACTGTGAAGAATTTTTTCCTAATGTTGATCCTGAATTGATTTTCCAGGAGTTTGTGGCAATTACTCTAGTGCCTTGGTGAACAGTTGCTCACTGAGCCCTTGATGTACTCCCCTAGTGTAGCGGTAAGCTGCTACCAAGTCCCCCCTCAGCCATCTTTTCCTCAGGCTGAAGAGTCCCAGATCCCTCTGCTTTTCTTTGTATGGCTTGCCTTTTAAGACTCTGATCATATGGGTGGCTCTTCTCTGGACTCTGTCAAGCTTGTCCACATCCTTGTTAAAGTGTGGTGCCCAGAACTGGACACAGTACTCCAGCTGCGGTCTCACCAGTGCTGAGTAGAACGGAAGAATCACCTCCTTGGTTTTGCTTCAGATGCATCAATTGATGCATGCCAGAGTATTATTTGCCCTGCTAGCTACAGCATCACACTGACGGCTCATATTAATACTGTGGTCTATTACCCCCAGGTCCCTTTTATTTGTGGTGCTAGTCAGTTTCGTGCCACCAAGCCTGTTCTTTGCCTTTAAACCTGTGCTATAGCCCTTGCTTAGCTGAACCTGTAGAAAACAAGCAGAGTTAGTGTTAAGAGGTGTCTGTATGCCAAGAGGCATGCATAAGTTTGCCCTATCCAACACTTTTTTTAGGTATGTTTTGTCATTTGATACTTTGCCCTGTAATGCAGAAAACATCAGAATTTAATTTTGAAAGTTTCAATGTCATTTATCTGTGAAGTGTGTTTAAAGTCCTGCCAGTAGTGTGAAAGAAGAACTCTAGCTTGATAATGTCTTACATTCATTTTGCACAAAACTAAATGATACCACCAGAAGTTGCAATATGTGGAGAACTGGGCCCAAAGAAGTTAATGGTAATTAGTAGAAGTCTGAACTATTATCTGACTTCTAGGTATAGTATGTGGAAGGTCAAGGTCTTGGTACCGTGGAGGAGCAGCAGAAGGAAGCTGGGGCCTCAGCATTTTAACTTTACAGTCCTCCTAGACATCCAGGATTGCAATTAGTCACAGCAGAAGCTAGTTGATGTATAAAATAATTTGTGATGCATTTTGGTATAAGAATTCAGGGGCAAAATAGTATGAAAGCAGAGCTTGTATAAAATACCTTTGTGAAAGAAAGAATGTAGAACAGCACTATCTGTACAAGCAACTATACATATCTGTTTTAGCTGTTGGTATAACTGCCTTGGCATCACTAGGGTCTTGATCTGTCACCTGACAATGTATGGGACACTAAACCTGCATAGTGCCCATGTGAAGTCAGATTCAGAACTGGGACCTAAGCTAGTTGTCCATACTGAAGGTCAACTCATAAGTGAATTTCACCTTATAATACAGATTTTTCAAGCTTGTATTCTAATACATGGTTGCAGGCATTTGAGTCCAGTTTCCTGATTGAAATATATGTGCAAAATATATGTGCCTGTGCCTTGTTAAAGACATGGTTCAATTTACATCTTCACTGACTGCCTATCTTGTACGCATACCAGCCGAACCTCTGGCTTCTTTACTTTTCATTCCAACCAGGAAGAGCACACACCAACTGCTGAAACTTCCTCAGCCTGACGAAGGGTTTTTAAACCCAAACGCTTGCTTCTTAAAAAAAAAATTTCCAACTGTTTAAGTTGGTCTAATAAAGATATCAGATTCACCCAAAGAACCTTGTCTGCCTATGTCCTTAGACCAACACAGCTATAACCTACACCCTTGTTAAAGACATTACACTTGAACACCTGCATTCCTAGATCTCAATGCTTATGTGAAGCCATGAAAATTATAGAAAAAATATTTAAAGGCAGATACAAAGGATTATCATGCAGGTCCCTTTGTTGGCATAGTGAATAATCTTTTTACTTTTTTGTCTATGGTATTTTAAAATGCACTTTTTTTAAACTGATAGTTTTTTGGGGTAGTATTTTGCATAGCTTCACATATATTTTACTTCAGAAATATTTTTAATAAAAATCTAGCTACCATAATGATGAGGTATACAAATATATCTCAAAATTCCAATAACATATTTTTTTCTGCTCATACAGGAAGTTAATCTTGTTTTCTGTGAAGTCTCATCAAATGCTAATCCCTAATTAAATGTAATAAGGCTATGACCTACATAATTTACAAAGCATTTAAATAGTATGATAATATGGGTACTGTATTTATTTATTTTTACTGTGTGGTTAATTCCCATTCTTCCTTTAAAGTTATAAATTTACACTTCTTCATATGGAATATTCTTCTGTCTGATGTGTAAATTACTCACCCAAAGGCAGGGTACTTTGGGTGAGTTTGCTGTCAATGGGATAGCATAAGTTGGTAGCTTTAATTACTTTTAAGTGTCCCATTGCTCTCTTGACTATTTTCAAAGGCAGAAGAATAGTAGGAAGAAATGAACTGATTTGCAAAAATAAATAAAGTTCTTCCCTACATACAGAAAGTAAACCTTTGCATGTTTCTAGAACAGACTTTTCAGAAGATTCTTAAAACTTTAGGTTCTCTTTTTTTCTTTTTGTTTTTTAACACTTCTAAATTGCAAAAGGAATAGGAATCTGAAACTAGGAGAGACACTATTTACATTGTAAAAGGAAAAGGGAAATAGCAGGACATTTAGATTAAAAATATTCTGATCAATATTTTTGGATTAAAGAAGTTTCAATAGTTCATATCAGCATCCAGACTTTTCACACAAACTCCAAACTTGTTAGAATTTCCCACCCCCTGCTGATGATATTTTAGGAAAAAGATCATTTGAAATGATATTCCTGAATTTTCTAGAAAAAATCTAAGTGGTAAGAGCAGAATACAGGTTAATGGAGTAGTCTCTCCTCCCTTAGCTGGCAAATAAAAGCAGAAAGTGATCTAATATGAAAGAATAACGCTAGTTATAAATAAATCCTTGTATATGCATGAACTCCCTTACAGTGTTGGAATTTTGACTTCATACTTTAACATTTTTTATTGTATTTCACAGTCTATAATCTGTTGTGAACTGCAGTTGTTTTACATTACAGTATATTTGTCTGAGACAGTGATGCTTGACCTTCCAGCCCCATGGGCTAGATGAGTGGTGCAGGGCCTTCCTGCAGGCCAGATCCAGAGTGGGGTCTGTGCATGGGGTCTGTCCATGTGTGCGATTGGACATTGGTCATGCAGGTGATCCAGTCATGAAGCAAGCCCGCACTCTGGATTCCAGAGCCACTGCAGTTAACACTACCTTCCACTGCCAAATTTCCAGACTTTTGGGAAACCCTGCAGGCTGGATGACACAGTCCTGTGAGCTGGATTTGGACCTCAGGCTGGAGGCTGAGCATCAGTGGTCTGAGGCAAAACCATGACACTACTGCAGTTTGAGCAGCTTTTAAAACTCTGTATTCACTGTTGGCTGGCATTTCCTTTTTTTTTAAATATACTCTGATGTGTCCTGGTTTTGTAGCTTTAATATAAACTTTTTCTTCCCCCCCCCCGCCTCTTCTTTCAGTTGATCTTAAAAAAGGCCCCTGTCCAAATGCTGCAAAATCAAATCTTCCGAAGCCATGCCAATCTGGACTTCGTCCTCCTGGCTATTCACGCATGCCAGCAGCTAAGCTGGCAGCATTTGGTTTTGTCAGGAGTTCAAGTGTATCCTCTGTCTCAAGCAACCAGTCAAATGACAGCGTTCAGAGTGATCAAGGCAGAACAACCAACCGTAAGTCATAAAAAAATGCCCTATTTGGGGGATCTTAAAAAGAAATACTCAGAAAGATCCATAAAGGAGTATAGGTGCAAGGGTTAATTTGACCCATATGACATTTATTATAATGTGTTATATTCTCCCAGATGTGGGGATTTAGAATCTGATTTCCTGGTGTGAATATTTTTAATAAGTAATGCTAGATGAATAATTATGAGGGGTAAATTGCATAGTTAGGTAACTGATCTCTGCATTGCGGAGAAAATTGCTGTAAAGAATTAATTTAAAGCATTTTGATTTTTGTTTTTATACTTCGGGAAAATTTTTCTTCAAAGGTGAAGTAAACAGACTGATGAGAACGTTGATCAGCATATTGCGGTCATGGGAGGAAGCAATTTAGGGGAATGACTGAGTGAAATGAGCAGGATTTTCTTTCTCATTTACTATTTTTCTGCATGTTGTTTAATGTGTGGCATGGCAAACTTGATTTCAGAAGTTAATCAAATAATGCTAGAGAGATAAAATAGGATCAGAATCGGCATCTTAGCCACTGTCTCTTCTCCATCCTTGGAAAGATGCCTTGGCTAAAATGTCATCTTAAATCCTATTTTCTGTAGCTAATGTTAATGTTATTAAGTACAAAATAATACACACCAGACTGTGCACTCTGCATGAAATATACGCATGGCCTGGGCTCAAAACACAACCAGGGATTGAGGATTTTTAATACCAGTTTCCCTTTGAAGACTGACTTCAGCCTGAACCGTGTCAATTTCAAAGCAACTATTATCAGTCATGAAGTGGCTCATGTTGAAGATGCCAGATTGTATAAATGCTGGAGGCTTTAGGATGCTGTAGGATCCCAGATCTTTCAGTGCATCTATTAATTTTAAATGAACAACAAGAAATAAAACAAAAAAAGGAAAAAAAAACCGTGATGATTTCTTCTCTGTGCTTCTTATTTATATAAAGTTATTGAAATGCAGGAGAGAGAAGCATGTAAGGGTTCTGTCCCCAGTAAAGACACTGAATGTATGTTCTAATTCTTGTTTTCTTTTTGGACTGCTTATTCTCTCTTACCTGTCTTATAATGAATGTTCTTTTGCTCTGAAGTTAATGGGGTTTTTTGCCTTTTGGGGGGTTTGATCTTACTTTTATCAAGCGTTATAAACATATGCATGCTCAGTTGTTTATGGCCTTTGTGCAGGGAGAAAAGAGTCTACTATTCCCTCCAATTAAATATAATTTATACATCCTTTCAAGAAACTTTGTGTCTCAGGATCTCAGGTATGAGATAAAATTATAGGTAATACTGAGAATGATACAATTCTAAATATTTTTATTTAAAAAATTTAATAAAATGAAAATCTGGGGTCCATTCATTTCAATTCTTAAATTATAGAAGTTGCACCCAGTAATTTGGAAGTCAGGCAGCTGCATCCATTCCTTTAGTTTGAATTAGGAGGTAATTTGGTCTGCATGTATGGATGGGTTCAGTCTCCAAAATCTGAATTTGTATTTCAGCCATCATGTTTGATACAACCAGTTAATTACATCTTAAAATGTAACCCAGCCTCATATTCATGCAGGGGTCGGACCTGATGATCTAGGGAGTCGGACCTGATGATCTGTTTAGGTCCCTTCCGACCCTAAGTACTATGATTCTACGATATTCAGGAAAACAAGAACTATGCTGCAAAATTGTTACACAAAAATATATATAATCATTTTGTAGCTGGTTTCCATCATGCCTTACATGGAACACATCACAAGGTGGGCTGCACTGGGGTCTCCAAATGTGTGGTTCCTATCAGCCAACAATTAGCTAATCGTCAGCAGAATCAGGATTGTGCCAGGACTTGAACTGATACATGCTTGACAGCCAAAGATAAGCTAATCGTCAACTGGCAGGAACCGCAGAGGGGCTGCCTGATGTGGTCCTGATTCAGGTAATGAGTTGATTGTCAGCAGGATCAAGACTTCACTGGGGCTCAAACCCAGTGGAGTCCCTGCCAACCAAAACTTATCTGTTCACTGGTCAGGAGGAACTGCACTGATCCAGTTCCAGCCCTAGTGTGCTCCTGATCCTGCAGATAATCAGCTGATCATTGGTGGGCTCCAGGGACCGCACCAGGACTCCACCAGCCCTGGTGGGTCACTAGAGCCAGATGGCAATATGCTGATTGTCAGGGGTGGAGGGAAAGCCTGGGATTGTGATCCTGGGCTCCCCCTGCTCTAGCAAACTGGGAGTGATTAAGATCTGATTCCCATCCCAAAATCACATTTGCTCCCACAAATCCTGTTGGGATTGGGGTCAGATCCCATAACACCTTTAAATGAATGTCTGTCAGCAACCTTAGTCTCTAGGGGTGCCTGTGGATGTGCGGGGATGCTGCCTCAATGTACTGTAATTACGGTATGTCAGAGCAGACTGGATTAACAGAGTCTGCTGGAGCATGCTAATTGGCACATTCCAGTAGCCTTTGCATCTCATGCATTCAGTGTCCCCATATTGCAAATGGTGGCAGGGCTGGTTTAACTAAAGCTTATCAAATGAGCTTTAGTTAAAGTGCCCCTGCTGCCATTTTGAAGTGCGGGATGCTGAATACACAAGATGCTGTGGGCGCTTCAGAGTGGCTTTTGGAGCCACTCTATTTAAATCATCCTCCCCCTCCCTCCCTGCCCCACACCCCTGGAGCACGTGTAAAGACACTGTAGACTACTAGACTACCATGAACAAAAGTAGATGCATTAATGTGTTTTCATGGTATAAAGCAAGTAGGACAGGTTTGCACTTGGAGGCCTTACAGAACATTAATGCATCTGCTTTTGTCCCTCTTAGCTGTAAGGCTAAGTCACAGAACTGCTGAACAAATAGAAGAGTCACTGACTTCTGTTCATTTTTGTTCTTTGGAAACTTAGCTTGCGTGGAAAAGGATCACACTTTGGCACTTGAATGCCTAAGTACCAACTAGCGGTAATAGGTGGAACAGATTCAGGCCCTGTGTCTGCACACAAACTGTATAACTAGTGGATTTCTGACTTAGAGGGAAAAATTGTTTTGTCTTTTGATTCTATGCAATTAATGAGTAAAACTCCTCATCCCAACCTGTCATCTTGGTGAAGTAGATTTCTTCCTAATATATTATGAAACAATTTGCTTTCTTATTATTAACAATTCTAAGAAAGCTAATTTATTAAAACAGGGACGTCAAACTTGCTGCTCCTTGTGGGCCAGATCCGAATGTAGCGGTAGTGGCACAGTGAACAGGAATGGCAGCTAGGGAGCGAATGTATGTAGCCATCTCATGCCCCCTGCTGCTGACACGCATCCTCAGTGGGGCTCCATACCCTGGATTTCTGTGATGAGCCCCAACCCATGTTCCTGCCCACTCTGGGAGCCCCATAGGTCAGAAGACATGGCTTTGAAGGCTGGATTTGCCATGTTTGACACTCGTGTATTAAAGTAAAATTCATCCAACTCCTCATGTTCCTACTTTACAGACCAAAGGAGGTTGACCCAGTTCTATTGACTTCTCTTCTCTTCTGTTTCAGCTAGGTTCATATTCTGCATGGATCACCATGGTGACTGACCATCAAACAAGTGTAACAAAAGAAACTTTCTTTAGAAATTTCTAAAGAATCTCAACATTGACAAATGACTTCTTTCCATTGCTGCCTATTGGAAGAATGGTTTTATTTAAAGTAAAAAAAAAAAAAAAATTAAAAAATTTTTTATCAACTGAAATGGCGTATACAATGGAACTAAATCAGACTCATTTGCCAAGCAGTAGGCAGGGCACATTTCGGATATTACTTTCCTGCCTCAGTGGGGAAGAAAGTGGTAAATGATATATCCTGATGAATCTTTAAAGATGTAAGATAATATGGTTTCCTATTTAAGTATTTCAACTGTGCATCAGGAAGACAGAATATGATCAACTAAAATGGCGTATACAATGGAACTAAATCAGACTCATTTGCCAAGCAGTAGGCAGGGCACATTTCGGATATTACTTTCCTGCCTCAGTGGGGAAGAAAGTGGTAAATGATATATCCTGATGAATCTTTAAAGATGTAAGATAATATGGTTTCCTATTTAAGTATTTCAACTGTGCATCAGGAAGACAGAATATGATCTAAAGTGAGAATATATCTGAATATTATTTAAAGTCTGAATTGAGAGGCATGCTAGTATGGATCAGTTGTCTATCTAAATAAAACCAAAGGTTTGTCTTGTGAACAAAAGGAAAGCATCTCCAAATAAGATACTTATAATTGGGCGAGAACATAAGCATAGGGGGAAGATATTTTGTGCAAAAGAATGGTAGTTGTTCTAGCTGATCTTTCCACTAAGCCTGTCTCTCTATCTCTGTCTCTTTTTCGGATGTTCTCTGTTAATAACTTTTGTCATGATGTATGATTTTTTATGCTTCTTTTCCAAAGTGCCAACTCTTGTTTGGTTTTGGAAAATAATATGGAGTGACTAAATACCCACTATAGTTGGATCCAGCCCAAGGCCATGGCAGTTTGGTGGCAGGCACTTTGCCTGTGCCGTGGCAGGGAAAAGCGGTAGCAGTCCTGAGCTGGGTCATTCCAACTCACAGCCAAATATGGCTCAATAAAGATTCATTTTTTTCTAACTTAGGGAGAAAAGTAGTGTTCTTTTTTAGAAGTTTTTAATGGTGATGTGGTAAGGCAGCTTTGGCATTAGCCAGAATCCTCAGTTGTTCTTGGTTTTTAACAAGGCAGAGAGCATATCCTAGTTTCCTTGGTAGATACTGGAAAGAGGCTTGCCACTGTTCAGCTAAGGCCAGCAAATGTTTTTAATGAAGGCAAGACACTTATTAAGAAGTGATCAGTAAGTGGGAAGCTTGATGAGCTGATGACATCATTCTGGCATGCACCATTGGTCAGTTCATAGTTCTCTTTGCCATGTCAACCACAGATGCTCCCTCTTTAAATATGTATTACATTCTAGTATCCTTACTTCTCTTTTCCCTTGTCAGTGCAAA